AGCCAAACAGCTACAGTAAATGCCATCCCCCTTTGGCGGCAGAGAGAGAGAGAAGCCCACCTCCTTTCCGGAGCGTGAAGAGCGGGGTTCCACCTTCGACTTTCCCTCCGTCCGGCACCAGAAGGGCCTCAATCACGCCTGCAGCCGGGGATGGAACCTGCACTGAAGTCTGGGGAGCAGAACAAGCTCATATTTTAATATTTTTCAAATGAACTATATAAATGCATTTTAAATAAGTCACTTCAGTTCAGGGTATATAATGAAGTAATTAAAATCCAAGCTGCTAAATATAAAGAAATTAGTACTTCAGTTAAATCAATACATTCTCAGTACAACTAAAACTCATATCGTTTAAGGATTTTGATTATTTTAATTTGAATTATCGTATGTCTGACACCAGATCCCTCTAAAATATACTTAAAGCACCGTTGAAGCTATACGATTGAGTTCTCCATTTCTATACAAGGTGCTCACTGCCCATCATGACATTCGTTACAGACTCCACTCTCTCAAATCCCGCCCCCAGCAAACCAGGCATCCTAACTCCATCGTACCTTGTCAGTCTCGATTTCACACACCACTTCATCCTCAGAGACGGCGTCCCCGACAGCTGCGATGAGAAACATAAACGTGACCCCCACTCCATTCGCGTGAACGTGGCAGCAGGTTGGAGGTGACCACACATCAAGGTTGGGCCATACCTTTCTCCCACCTCACATCTCCCTCTGTGACAGACTCTGCAAATGCTGGCGTCTTCACTGTGATGACTTCATTCCCTGTCAAAGCAAACAGAGAATTCATAACAGAAAATTCACCTGTGGACCTGGATACTGCAGACGTATATACTGCACCAGTTTTTCTCAACCCAGTACTTGGGGGGGCCCCCAGACGGCCTACATTTTTACACCTTCCCAGCAACTCAACCGGACAGCCCAGATTTTTCCTGCCTTCCAGCTCCCTTCTAAAAACATGGACTGTCTGAGGGTTTCCCGAGGACCCAAGTGAGAAACACTGTACTGCAATAAAAGCACAACAAAAAGGGCCAGTCGCTTACTGTAAGCTGCTGACGTCCTTAGGTAACGAACGTGGAATATGTTGGATGTGCTGACGCATTCCCTGAAACAGAGTTCAGCGGGGGTTTCTCTACAATCCACTACTTAAAGGCAGCAAATCATCTCTCAACAAACAAATCTTTAAAAAAAAAATTTTTTTAAAGAAACAAGGAAAATGTCCAGAGAGCTGATCAAACTGTACATTTTTGTAGATTCCATGGAATTTCTCACAACAGGATATGTAATATATACGTAATTTTATGACATTTTCACAGCTCTTAACCACCGCATCATCATTTAAAGACAGGGAACAACCACACAACACACAGCTTATCCCAGTTGCGGTCAAGTGTTTCAACAGTCTATAATTGGTCACAATTGTGAATACTGAGAAAAAGCACTTACAATCTGCTCTCCTTGTAAGTGATGTGACGAGCAGCTAAGAGGCCTTCAGAGCAAACAATGAGAAATGAGATTTCAGAAAGGGGGTTGTAGTGAAACTTCAGCATTTTAAAGCACGCCATTATTCACTCAGTGAACTGTGGAAGCGCAGTCCAAGTTATTGTTTTAGTTTCTAAAAAACACTAGTACGTTTAAACCGTCTTACCTGACAAAGTCCTCCTCCCCAACACATTATGACCCTGTCAAACAGAAGTGTTACTTCATGGAGTCACATTGCAATAAATACCCAGATCAGCCAAGTGGCAGATTTACAGCTAGATAAACATTCAGAAAATGCTTCAGCGCCTTTCATGCACACCCCATATGGGGAAGTGATGTCCAACCTGCAACCATATGACCAATATTAAGAAAAACATTCACAACATTCTGCAAAACAGCAGCAGGTAATGTATTTTGAAATTTAGAGACAGGACTGTATAAGCCATCGCAAAACTGAACAATAACCAACAGGTGTCACGTAGTGATCATATTTCAATGGAGAACTGAAATGTATGTATAGGCATTCAGGGAGCTGAATGGTGGAAGGTCATGCTTGGACACACTGGACAAAACAAGTCAAGTAAATTGCTAGGTTATCATGGTGCCAGTTATACAGTGCCACTGAGGCCACACAACAAGTTCTCCAGCTCCCATTAAAGACACATCTGGGCAATCGCAGGATTACAGAAAGGCACTGCAAATACCAATGGCTAACATATTAACCTGGCACAGAGACATGGCTGAGCAAGGATCACTAAGCACATAATAAAATAGTTTTTTTAATGCTACAGTATCAGAAAATTTCTCTAGCATTTATTAAGCATTTGTCTTACAAGCAAAGACTAATTGTACAAACAGCCCCTATAGAGTGATTATATTAATAGCAAGGTCACCGCAGGAAAATAGAACAGAAATTACAAATAGAGCAACTGTTGCTGGTCAAATTCTTCAGTATAAATACGTCTACAAAGAAGTTTTAAGCTTAGCATAATATTTGCAATTTAAACTTACGTGCTGAAATATTTACTCAAATCTGAAAAAAAACTAGACCATGTTTATTGTCTTCCAAACAGTACTAATCCAAGAACTATTCCATCGGTGCATTGCTTAATAGAAAATTGCACATTCAAATCCCTTATGAAGAAATGAATACAGCCCTTAATAAGCTGCATTTCACAACGAGAATCAAATTCACCTTAGCAGACAAAAAGAGAAAAATCTTGCTTGATTCATTAAATAGCAAAGAGTATAGATTGCAAAACAGCATTGGAATAGTAGACAATTACATTATACAGAATTACAGAAGAGTGCAGTATTAGATTATACTACTTTGGAATTCAGACAGTGGAAGAGCCAGTTTGTATACATTTCACCTGGTCAAAAGATAGTATGGGATTTTCACCTCATAAATCACTCTCACCAAGTTGCCACACCTTACTGACTTTACTGAAGAAATGAAACAATTGACCCTGACCATATCAATACAGTCATGAAAAAAAAGGTTTTGTTGGGCACCGCAAACTATCATTACAGCTTAATTAAAAATCTATTTACCTCTGAAATGTTTGGAAAGTAAAGTGTAAACCCTGTACATGTAATGTATATACATGCAAGTGTGTAAAACAGTGGAGCACACATTTAGAGTGTTACACTGGGCAATAGTATAACTACTATCAGTGAATGACAATTAAAAACCAGAACACGGTGTCAAATTAAATGAAAGATGATCCCACAATTCAGTCAGACTATAGTAAAGGCAACATTAATCAAAATTGAACAAGTGGCAGTGAGTTGTAAGTGAGCTCAAACTTTTAAATTTTCAGCCCTGTTCCTGGAAACTGACCAATACTTAAAGAGGCCAGTGATTACCTATAGAGTTTTTTGCTTACAGTGAAACTGACTTCTTTCTTACTGCCATGGCATTAATATGTAAGGGAGTTACAAGCTCCTCCCACCGCTTAGTTTTAATGCTCCTGACAATGGAGCAGAGTACATCAGCCCCAGTCAGTGGAGGCTGTGCTGTTACGCACAGCGGTGTGCACTCTGGACCATGGACTTCACGGTTTGCATCTCAGTTCAGGTACAGATACCTTCACCACTCATAGGACCCGCTGGAGAAAATCCTCCATAAATAAATAAAACCTCAAATCACATAAGAACAAAAGACATCAGGATTGCTGGGATGATCACTAAGTAAGAATCACAGGTTCAGATAAACTGGGGCATATAGAAATGGCCAACCTTACAGCACCCCCTCCAGTCATGATCACAGATTCCACAACAACTGTAGATTCATCAACTGATAATGGCAGCCAACACACTAGACACTATGTGAATGTATTTACGCGTTTGCAACAGGCATTTGCATTTAAACTAAAATTAGTAAGGCAGCCCCACACAGACATCCCCATATAGCGCCTCTGTCCTTTAGTGACATGCAGTAATGCAACACCGAGATGAAACAATGTTTCACAAAATGTTGCGAGTTACCGAGACTGGAAACTTTCTAAATACCAAACAGACATTTTTTAAAAAGATATGCAGTACAAAACGATTACCTACGGGTAGTCTGTGTGACTGTATGGGGCAAATTGAGAAAGTTTTCAGGTGACCTCACGATATCCTAACCTACGGTCTGACCCGGTAAGTTCCCTACTAGCGGCTAGCTAATTAGCCAAAGGACATAGGGCACTTCTATAAGGCAGCGATCTTTGACTCTATAACCCACTAATGCGTTTCGTTAAGCATAGATGTTTACAGCCTAACACCCATATTAACTCCACTACCCCAGTGTCTTGTAAGAAAAATGTCATTTCTTTTCGTAGAAGGTGTGTCACCCTGTCCTTGGGTCGGCGTGTGAGGCCTACCCGCGGCCTAATTACGCTCCGACTACATTAGCGGTACAGCTCGACTCCGGGATCATTTGGTTAATTAACGTCGCCTACCTGGCTAAGCGCAGAGAGGGAGCGCCCAAGGGTGCGTGTGAAACACCGACAGTGGGACAACATAGCGCCTAGAACTACAGCAGCCACCAGGGTGTCGCACGAGCCGCACAGAGATGCTCGGACGGGAGGGTCCGTCACTCAGCGCGAGCGGAACGGAAGCACCGCGGAACGAACCATCTACGGGGGAGAATGTGAGGGGGGGAATGGGGCAGACCAATTTCATCCTCAGTATATGTGTATGGTCTATATAGGGAGGTATACTTATACATATATACATTATAAGTACTGCAACTAGTAACTGCAGTAATTTCATCTGATTTAGCATTAAGTCTAATTTTACATGACGATATAAATCACAAACTGCTTAACTTAATATATCATTCAAGTAATTATTGTGAGTCTGATCAATTTCATTCTTATATATTTTATTAATTTGCTCATTCAAACAAATTAAATAACTTAGCCTACTAGGTTTTACTACAGATAGCTTGCCCATTTAGCTTCATGTGCAGGCGCTTCCCTAACCAGGTAGCCACGCCTACGCGCGCCTTTTGTGGATTCAGTTGTTCTCACGGATGCTCTCGCTCCACGGTAAATGGGTTTTTAATTTCGATCTGACTTCTGGACCAGCATCACTTCCTTCCCATCAAAGCTACAGGTAAGATGCGATCTTTATTCACCCTCTTCTCTCCGTGTTCTTGTGACCATCTCGTCCTTTATTATAGAAGATGCCGTAATCTCCGTTCATTAAGAGGTACTACATTAATAAGCTAATATGAAAAGTTTTTACAAATTATAATCTGTAGGGTTTAGGTTGTCGACGTTTTGTAACAAGTATGAAATATCACGCGCCACAAAATTCTTACATTGCAATTGAAAATTTGCTGGGATTTCATACTGGGCAAAACCACGTTTATGACTATTTGTTTTCTAGGTTTTTGGTGGTTCGCATTTCTGAAACGGAGCTGTCAAAGTTTATTAACTTAAAGGAATGAAGTAAATGGTACTATGTGCTTTTTCACTTTTAGTTTCTTTGAACTGTTAAACAAAACCGTTACTCTGAAGAAGGTAGAACTTGAATAGGCATACAGATAATAAAAATAACTATTGAAACAGCTGTATTATTGCTTAAAAACCTTATTCGTAGTAAATCATCATTATCAATTCATCCACCGGGGGTAGCCTATTGTTTGTTTTATTTTTGGGAAGTTAAGTTATTTATTAACGACGATGACATTCTTGTTTCCTCTTTCTAAAACAACCAAGAAACGATTGACTTGTACGTGTCCATGACATATGTGGTAAGGTGGAGGTTTTTAACTTAAGCTTTTAGTTCCTTAAATGACCTTGCACGTCGTGAATTTCCGCGTGTAACCCTGGTACCTCTGAATAATTAATTTTGGGTTTAGTTTAATTTAGTTTAAGCTTAAATTGGTTATTGATCTTATTATATATGTTAGAAAAACTTGCTCAGAACACTTTCATTTAACCTGCTGTGAAATTTCCCAGCATTCGCTGGAAGCATAATTATTAAAATGGATTTATAACTCTCTTCTCAATAATAACTACCACAAACTTTGAATGTTGTGTTGAATTAACAAGTCAGTATAAATCTTTTCGGACTGTTCCCATACAATATATGACACACTATTAAGTCACATAACATTTTGCAGTAGGCCTACAGGTGATAACAACTGCCAAGTATTCAAATATATATTCTAATGTTGTCATTCTAAGAGAATAGAACTATAAACCTTTTCTTTCGGTTGGTCAAAATAGGGTGAACTTAAGACTGTATGGGCTACTCTGTTTCTGTATTTAAATACTGAGGTTAGAATTTAGCTATTAAGTCATTGAGCCTCTGCACATTGCAGAATAATCGCATTAGTTATTAAAACAAAGCCAAAGGAAAAAGAAAAACTGACGCTAGGTTGTTACAATGCTATTTCAACTGTTGTAAAGTGTTTAACAGAGACCGTGTTCAGCATCTTGCCCACCTACCTGCTTTTTTTTACCTCCAAAGAGGCCACCATGCAACTGCATCATTAATTACAGTTAACGAATGTACAGTATCAGAGTTTAAAACACTCGCCATATGGACACCATGCAGTTTTGCCACATGAGATAATTTTTTAAATAGTTAAAAACTAATGAGATGGGTTTATTACTACAGCTGCAGTAGAAACTTTAGTTTGTGGCTAAGTGGTAACGTAAATCTTTTTAAATCCCTTCTCTTTAGAAGCGACGATGTGTTCAGAGTCGAGTGTCGCTGAAAGTTATGGCTGGATGCCTTCAGAAACGTGTTTTCCGATACAACAGATCTGCAGACGAACATATTTTAAAACTGGAGTATTAACTTTTCAGCACCCATGAAAGGTCAAAGAACGAATGAATGTAAACGAATAAAAATTGACCTTCGGTGTGATCTTCGGGAAATATTACGTAATTCATATTTCAATTAAAGCACCCTTTGTGGTGTTCATTAACCCTTTTATCATGTTCAGAATGCTGTTTAAAATACAAGATGAGAGAACGCTATGCTTTTCTACTTAGAACTCCGTCCGTAAAACTCCCGATCTTCCATTTCATTATATTGAGTGGTTTAACGGATAAAATGAGGATCCTTGGGGGTTCCTCTATGGTTAATAATTAATAACTCAGTTTAATTTTTATTAAAGTGAACTTAAGAAAATTTAAGAGGATATTTAAAGCACAGAAAATATATTCTGGATTTTACCTGTTAAGGGTATGGCAGCTGCGGGCTTATTCTCTACACTTTAATTAACGCAGCCAAAAGACAGTGATAGTGTATGAAATCTAAATAAAAAGGTATGAGAAATAGACTTTTTTAATATAAGAAAACGATGTGTTTATGTGATGAGTGTCCCCGAGTTATTTTGCTGAGGGAAGCGGTCTTGGACAGACTTTCAGTGTGCCGGTCACGGGTTTGTTATGAAGGGAAAAGTTTCGATATATTGTGCCGGTAAGACTCTAAATTCTACTCTCCCGTGATTTGTAATCATTGATGAAATTTCGTCATCGTAATGCAAACATACAACAAAACGCAGAATATTATAAACCTGAGAGTTTATTTGGAAAACTACTGTTATGGAAAATCTGTACCTAGCTGTAGACATTAGTAACACGGTCCTGAACAAGGGCGTCGTTAGTCCTATTTTAGAGGGGCTTTAGCCCCCACCCCAAAAAAATTGTTTTTAGCCCCCACAAATAAATGTGTATTTATTGGCTTAACCATGAATAGCTTTTTACTTTATAAATAAATTTCCATCACCCAATCCCAGTAACGACCCCCATCCATTCATCTCTAACTATACTCCTGGTCCTGAATTAGATGCAGTGTGGGGGAAAATGTGTTTTTTGTGAACAAGGTAAAGTAAATTCTCTTTCACATTTTCAGCCAGACTGTCATCCATCCCTTTTGTCTTTCAGATTTGCAACACGGCGCCCGCAGATCGAGCGGTCAGTCTGCGGTAAATCGTTTTGATCATGAATCTCAGTCTATCCGACCGGAGTGTGCAGGGTAATAAGGGATCCCATGAAGAGGATAAACCACAACTGGCCCACCCGTATTTCCACAGAACAATGTACGATGACTCCTTGGCCAGCTATTCCAATGGATCCATTATCTCACAGCTCCTGAGGAAGACCATCCAGAGCAAGAAAGCCTTAGATGATGGCTTGTTCTACCTGCCAGCTACCACCCTGTCCACCACTGCCTTAGTTGACTCAGGCCAAGAAGACCAAGACAGCACATCTTCTGGGAACAGTGCGACAGAGCCCGGTTCTCCTAGTGGTTGGCCCTCCTCGTCTGGTGGCTCTGAGGGTGAGAGACCTGTTAGCGAGCATCTCCGGGCTAAGCGTGCCCGAGTGGAGAACATCATCCGGGGCATGGCGGGCTCCCCTAGCGCGCGGGTCCTAGGGGCCAATGAGCAGGCTGACGAAGAGAGCCACGACAACAGAGAAACCTACAAAGAGAACAAGAGGAAACAGAGGCTGCCACTGCATCAGGACCTGGACAGTGCTCCAGCCAGCAGGGGGCGTAGCAGCAAGGACGAGGAGTGCCACCGCCTGCGGGGTCAGCTCCACGCCATGCAGAGCCTCCTCAGGCAGCTCCAGGAGAAGTTATTCCGGGTGCAGAACCCAAATGATTCAGAGCATGAGTATGGAGAGGAAGCAGGCATGGCGGGAACTGTGGTAAGCGACGACGTCATGGAAAACCTAGAGTCACTGCACAGCTCCGAGTGTGAACTCCACATGGACCTGGATGAGGAGTTCGAGAGAAGGCTGCACAATCAGAGGGAGTCAGGCAAGACAGACAGTGACCAAGTAATGATCCATTCGGGGGGAAGGAATCTACAGGAAGCTTTAAAGTATGAGCTGTCCAAAGCCATAGCAGAGAGCGTCGATTTGGTTTTCAAAAAGTTCTCTCCTACTTTACTGGTTCCACCAAGCCCCTCACACATATCACAGGTCCCAGAGCTCAAGAAAAGGACCAAAACACAAAGTTCCCTAGAGATATCAAAAGCCAACGGAGAAGGAACTCACAGGTCCCTCAACTACTATGAGGGCTCCGAGGGTCATACTCCGGAAGACCAGACGGAGGCGCTGTCGTTAGTCGTTCGCAAGCCGCCCCTGAGCCACCCAGTTACAGCAAGCCCAGTAGCGAAAAGGCCCTACCCATTATCCCATGCTCCTTTCCAGTTCAGTTACTGCTCCCCCCTCCAGGAGAATCAGATTTTAGGGCACCTCCTGAAGTACGGCCCGCACAGCAGCTTCGGGAGCCTCTCCTGCCTGCCCCCACCCGTAGACAGGTCCTCGACGGACTCCATCAACCTGACGTGGGACGCCATCGCTGCCAGAGCCAAGGTGACCTCCAACCCCATGGGCCATCGCCCCCAGCCTACCACCATGGGGCAAGTGATGGTGGACGGCCTGAGCCTCCCCACCATCAAGGTAGAGTGCGGGGACTCGCAGACGATGGCAGAGAGGAACACCTACATGTCGCTCAGTATATCCTTTCAGGGCCAAAAGAAATGGCAGAGTCCTTGTCAGGTCATATTTCTATCGGCTAATGTTTTCTGATAAGTTTCCTGATAATGCCCAGGTCATTTGATATATGATCCCCACAACAAGCATCAAAGATAACGCAAATAACAACTTAGTATACATGTCTATCGCCAGCTTATGGAAAATTCCGTTTCCCCTCTAAAACACTCTTGCATAGCAAAGCAATTGGCGTATGCAATATATGGTTTGCATTCTCCTCATATAAGTAAGATTGCTAATCATTCACAAAAGCCTTTTTCGATATCTGAGCAGATTTTTGTCCAGCCTCTCGCTCGTTTATAATAATCTTACTTCTGTCCTCAAGTTTATTATTATTGCCATGCAGTGCCTTTGAAAACAAAGGCAAACCAACAAACAAATGGCAATTTTCCTTTCTTCCTTCCCCAGTCAAAAAATGACTCCGCGAAGCTTGGAGCTGCATTAGGAGCTCAGTAGTCTGGACTTCAAGGAGAATTTTCCCTTTGATCTTGGTAACCCCAAAGAAAATTACGGCATCTTCTTTAATCTGAGCAGAGTAATGACTTTAAGTCTGGAAAAAGACAAATAAAAAGGAATACAGGGCTTTGATAAGAATTGTTAGGAACAAAAGCCAGTGTTTCAAAGGCAGAAAAAGCAGCATTTTCGGCTCAGGAAACTCTTGTTTTTTTCCCACTTGAAAAAGTGCACTCAGAATACACTTACATGTCTTCAGCGTAAGAGATGTGTACCTTGAAGGTCAGATCTGGTTGTTTGTGAAAAATAAAAATGCTTTTTTTTCCCTTATAGTGACCCTTTTGCAGTGTTTTTCAGAGCATATCCTCAGGATCTATGCACTTGTTTTTGTTTGCCAATATAGCGCACTGCATCTCATTACTGGCGATTCCTCCAATTGATATATTTTCTAATTTCATCCGATTTAAGCTCATAATAAAGTCAAGCAACTAAAAATAAAGACTATAAATATGTAATGTCTTTTCTAGGCCGAACTATAATTAGAGAGCATCTACTTGCCTGTTAAACAAACAAATCTGTGAGTTTTACAGCTACTTAATTCATTTAAACTGTATTGAAAACGCTGTCTGTACACCTGCTGCCTCGCGCTGGACGGGGCACAAAAATAATGTCAATAAATCAGATGATACCATTCGAATATGCCGATTGTCTCTACCGGGCATCAGCATGGCTGTACGTGGAAGTCCCTAATTAAAATCTGTAATTTAATTTTTGAAGCCATTTCGCCAGCTCACACGAGATGTTCTGTTGCTGTCGACTCCATTTGCCCTGTAATGTAATTAATTACGGGCCGGAGAGTGCGCTAAGAGACAGGAAGGGGGTAGATCAGCATCCGTATCGGCCAAGGAAAGGGTGGATATCTTATGGAGGCAGGGTCCACGAACCTTTCTGGCGGGTCTGGATTCCTTAACGTCAGGAAACATCCAGGAAGGCCTAACCCCCAGCCACCTGAAGAAAGCAAAGCTTATGTTCTTCTATACCCGCTATCCCAGCTCCAACGTGCTGAAAACCTTCTTCCCAGACGTGAAGGTAAGCGCTCATCCTCTGGAGTTCGCAGATATCTTGAAATACACCGGCGATCTTGAGCTTTTGTCTCTGAAAAAAAGATGTGTCACTGTCGTTGTTTGATGTTTCAGCACAATAGAAACAGATTATATTTACTATCCTGGAAGAGACTTAAACTCAGCTTACAGTTTTACTTCAACAGAAATAACAGCTGAACAGGTTTATCAGCTTCAACAGAATATTTACAGACATAATTCGCATTAAACACCTTCCTCAAACGTCCTGCAGTTCCTCTAAAGGGATTTACTTATAAACCTCTTAGGCCATAGTTACACTGTAATAAGTAATTATAGTTCATGCTTATTTTATGTTAATTTTACGTAAACAGTTATTAGTTATGAATGTCTTATTACAGTTGCTACTTGTAACAAGAATGAAAGGTGTATGAAATATTTACATGAATATATTTGTGTAATCAGTGAACAATACAGTTGTAACTGTTTTGCTACACAATAGGTGTTTTGGTGAACTGGATACTTCAGTAGCAGAAAGCTTTTAGGTAGGGAAATCACATGGCATCGTCAAGATCTTTATCTAGACGTGAACAAAAAGGATAGATCCTCCTCCACATGAGCCCCGGCGTGTTGGGCAAGCTGGGGTGGGGGGTGGGGTCATTATGTCACTCAGGCTAAATGTCACTCAGCGTCAAACCAAGTGACGGTTGATGTAAAGAGGCAACAGGCCGGAGAAAACCTGCATTTGATGTGGCTCAGTGTGGCTGTCAACCCGCCAAGTCTTTGCGGCGGCCTTTTGTACGGGGGGGCTGCGAGCACGACTCCCCCTCAGCAATGAGACCTAGGCAATCATTCGCAGGGGGGAGGTGGGTCTCCAGCTAGCCAGTGACCCTCCTGTGGGAAGTCACCCCAAAAAAGCTGGATGGCTAATCCCCAAACAGCCGGAGTCACTGAGAGGTCAACGTGCCGCTTACGCTTACAGACTGCGGCGAACGAAAAAGACAGACACAGGTCCTGGGCGTCCACTTTGCTAATCTGGACCAGGAAGTCACAGGGCCCAAGGCTCAGGCTTCTGATTTTCTGGGGTCTGTAACAGAGGTAGGCAGAGACAGGAGCTCTGAAATGTGGAAGTAAATTCAGTCAGGCAAACGAGGAGGCGAAATGGCGACGAGAAAAGTGACACAGCTGGGGAAACAAAACGACTATGAACAATACTGCCTTCACTTCCCAGTTTTACATCAGAGGGACAAAGGGAACAATAATTAAATAGAAGTGTCAATAGAAAAATCAAAGTAGCCGTACAGTTTATTGTACCATGTGTCTCGACAAGTACAGATTTGTCTAGAAAGTGCAATTCGAATGATGGCGAATGTATTTTGTATTTTGAAAATTAACTTGGGTTGAGGAATTGAAGAGGAATTCCCTTTATTCTTTTTCTAACATAATTTCAACCTGTTTCGAAGACCAAAGAAATCCAACAATGAACCATATGTCATGCACGGTCTCCTACCTGTTTATTTTATAACATCCCATGGAACCGTTTGCACCCCTAATCCTTGTTTTGCATTTCCAGTTTAACCGCTGCATCACCTCCCAGCTCATCAAGTGGTTCAGCAACTTCCGCGAGTTCTACTACATCCAGATGGAGAAGTTTGCCCGGCAGGCCATCATGGAGGGTGTCAGCGGCACCAAGGACCTGTCCATCAGCAGGGACACCGAGCTTTTCCGAGCACTCAACATGCACTACAACAAAGCCAACGACTTTCAGGTAGGCTAAGGCTGGCAGGCCTCTGGCTTGCTTGTGGTCTCTCATGCGGTTTTGCCGTGACGTTTGACATACTTTTAATGCTGAAGCAAGAAGGCAAAAAAAAATGCAGCCTTCTCCCCAAGAAATCGTGCTGTGTATAGAAGCAAATCTCAAACATAGCTTTCATGATTCGACATAGAATGTTTGGTAACACTTTACATTAACTGCATCTTCATTATGCATTCATAGAATATTCATAGTAGCATCCTAACATACTTTAACCGCTTTAATATACATTGGGGAAGTTAATCACAAAAGTAACCCACTACAGAGAGAGGTGAAAAGTTCAGGTCCAGAAAGTACAAATCCAGACCAAAATTTTATTTCAACCAACCAGTTGAGTACTCTGTGACTGTGACTCTTTATACTCACTACTTTTGCTAGTAACTTACTCAACACTGAATGTTTGTTCTTATCATAAAATGCCTGTTATTAACATATACAGTATTAAAGCTGTTATGGTATGTTAGGATGTTAAGGTATAACATGCTCCTTATGAATGCTCTATGAATGCATTGTATAGGCATTATGAAGGTAAAATAAATTTAAAGCATTACTGAGTGTTTGAACTCAACTTCTAGCAAAGCCAAAGAAATATGTGAAGGGGAATGTTCTGTTCTGTGGAAGACGAATCGGTGAAGTTGATTTGGTTAAAGAAAGTAGACGACTGACTAGTCTGGCTTTGTGTGTTAACTTGCCCAGAAAGTGGACCTAGGGGGAGGGGCTACCTGCGGCTCAAGCAGCCTTTGAAACACGTTATCAAAACCATAGATTGGTGCTTTATCAGACTGTGGGAAGAGGAAGCCACTAAAACAACGGTGGATTAGGGTCGTGGACGCGCCTGAGCGAGGCCCGGATAGCTATTGATGCGGAATGCTGAGAAAGACGCGGTGGATTCCGAGGGAGCCGGCTGTCCGGTGGGAAATGTCCCAGACAGTTGTCTTTACCTTGGAATCAAGACATTCTTTTCCCAGGGATGCTTTGTGTTGAGAGCAGGGTAGAAAAAATGACTTATCCCAACAACCATCCGGCCAACTGCTCTGAACCTCCTAATATAACCCACCCCCCCTCCCCAGCCGCCCTCCCAGAACCGTCTCCTCTCTCCTAAGATCCTCCCCAGATTCCCAGCCAATGGCAGTGCAGGTGCCTGAAGCTCAAGCAAGGTCCAGACCATTCTGAACATTATGCAGCAACTTGGCACAAAAATTAAAGTGACCATCGCGCATGTTCTGCCACCTTATTCCTGTTTTGTAAGTGTACAGTCAGGAAAGAAGGACAGAGAATATCAATCTTATCAAATGACTTACATTGACAACATCGATCCAGCCACTCAAGCCAAAATGCTTGCAGTGATCTGCCTTTTAATGTCAATAAAGTTTAGGTTGTACAACTAGAACCCAACTAGAATAAAGGAAAACTGATATACGATGTTTCCGGTTTATCACAAAGACCATATTTCCTTCCACACCAACCCCTTACTGCAGGTGCCCGACAGGTTTCTGGAAGTCGCTGAGATCACCCTTCATGAATTTTATAATGCCATTTCCCTGGCCAAAGACTCAGACCCATCCTGGAAGAAGGCTATCTACAAGGTGATCTGCAAACTGGACAGCGAAGTCCCTGAGGACTTCAAATCACCTTCCTGCCTGTAGAAACAACCAAAAGCAACAGGCCAGGTACCTATCGGAGATTTTGTATAGAGGAATACCACTTGAAGTATGTGCCACTTTTTGCAGTGGATTTAAAATGTACGATTCCCAGCCTAATTGTTGAGGCTTGTCACATGACGTGTGACTGCGGGGCAAACCCTGGTAATTCATGTAATAACAGTCAAAAAGAGATATGATGTAAAATTAAACATTACAAAGCTTGCACAGAGCTGATGACTGACAGCTATGCTCTAAAACTGAATCACTGAACCTCACACAGTTAGCCATAATGTTAGCAGTAGATAGTAATGTTAGCTGTTTACCAAATATTTAGTTATTTTTTAATGACTTGGTTTGCTTAGCTTATGTTTTTATCCAACGCAGCTTATACTTTTATTTAGCCATTTAAACAGATGGATTATTTCCTGGAAAAATTCAGGGTAAGAACTAAGTACAACAGAGGCACTGTGTGGGAACCTGTATGTTTAAATGGGGAACAACTGTGAATAAATCTTAATATCTGTGCATATACTGAGATACAAGCGGAAATAATATGCTTTCCTACGGTGTTTCTTTGACGATTTTCTCATGTCGACAATTGAGTCATAGATTTAGTTATAATGATTAGTTACAATGATTTTTGATGTGATTCAGTTTTGCAGACTGCAATGGATCAGAACCACATTTCATGATAATTATGATACAAAGATCCTATGTATATCAAACATAAATGTTGATTTGAAGTGCAAAATTTCCTATTAGCGAGTGGTTTAATGACTTCGGAGAACATATATAGCGTTTGTAATAAAGCGACTACAGTAGTTCCTGAAGTATCTGAATTGTCGAGTGTTATAGTGATATAGTATTAATTTGGGAAAACGCCAGTTTACACCAGTCAAACAATTTACATTCGTCCGTTCACATGGAAAAAATATTAATATTTTGAAATCAGCATTTCTGCATTGTGTATTTAACGTAGCTTGTAAAACAGGAATTTGGCAAGAATAAAAACGCAATTGCATTTGTGATGACCAATGCGAAAAAAAAACCCGACACATTAAGGACCATTTTACTCACGTCGAAGATACTCAGTTTGTAATGAGATATTCTGTTCATAATCAGGAATTTAATGTGAAGCATAACCTGTGAAATTAAACAGCACTCCCTTTATTTTGAAAGAAAACCACTGTAAACTTCATGCTATGTTCAAGCATTAAAGCATCCGACTTATCTGCATATTTGTTTGACCATTGTCTGTCAGGTTCTACAAAGCACTTAATATTTCTGTCTGATGTCTTTATTTTTTACAGCCTCCACTTTTGTTTCCAGGCAACGGGACAAAATTAATAAACTGTTTAAATGGGAAAGGAAAAAGCAAGACCACTCTGGATAGGCGCGCGTATAGTAAACGTGTCGTTTCATCTCAGCTCTAAGCATGTAGGCCTACCTCATAAGGCGCAATGACTGCTGATGGTGGAAAGGGGGGGCTTCGCTGTCCCTCACGCAGAAGTACTAGATTAAAATTATTTGTAAGATGCAATGTCGCCCTATTTATACGTGAAATGTGAAGGTCAGCTCTACAATAAAACAACACTTAAGGGGCATGAAGTTTACACAGCAAAAGTACTAGGTTACTAGAGTAGCCTACTAGATAAATTTCAAATGCTTCTCATTTTACATAAACCATACGTGTCTTTTCGCGACGTTTTAACCGCATCCAACCGGCAAAAGCTACTGTGAATTAATTAATATATACACGTGGTCTATAAGACTATTTTTACTGACAGTAAAATTGTGCCACAATCAAAGAGAATAAATAGATCTTGGACTGAAGTGGATCAAAGTTAATATTGGAAGTTTAAATGAACACGCCAGGCGCATATTTGTAGGCCTATGTGGAAGACAATTCCTTCTCCGTGAAATAAGTTAGGATTTGATCAAAGATTACTATAAAATGATCCTGATATAGTGATTGCCTTGATTTATTAATTACTTTTATCTACGGGCCGGGTTTCTTAATAGATCAACAAAACTAAAAAATCTATCGGCTGTAATTATCGGGTACACGAACGGTAGCTTACTCGTATAGTTATTAGCAAGATGCTTTGACCTGAACAAACATGTCTCTTTTAGTAGACTACTAATACCGAAGTTAATTCATGAGAACTTGGTAAACGTGCAAGCAGAAGCATACATAAAGAAGACGATAATTAGACGATGTCTAATTTATCTCAAAATTAAGCTCCGATATTAAATTAATTAACATGCAGTTTTCACTTTTGTGTCATGACAAATCTCCTGTTCCATGACAGAAGCAGGTTAAAATGTCCAATTTTAAAAGCCTGTCCGGGATATTATGACAGATTACTGTGTAACTTGCTCAGTGCCCGTCTTCCAAATGGTGCAGAGCTGTGATGATGAAGGGTCCTATGAGACTGCCTTCAGTCATCCGTGACATTAAGCTTGCCATTTGAATTCTTGCGAACGGCGGACTTCATATTGTCCACTAACAGCTAATTCAAGAGGGGTTTCTAAGGGCTGCTTTTATCCCGGACTAGCTGCAGGTCCGCACAACTGCCGCGTCTTACAAACGGGGACAATGCACTGTGCCCACATGAGTGAAGGACAATGTGACCTCATGACAGAGATGTGCCGCCGGTGCAAAATCCCACTAAGCCGTTGTCGTTTTCCTCCTTGCACCGGCTCCGAGCGCATTAGTCACCGCACAGCAACGTGCATAGTGAGCCACCTCTCTCATTTTCTCACCCCCTCTCACACACTCACTCCCAATGAGACACCCAGCATGCTGATCTATAAGCAAACCCTGGCAAACCTGCACAGACAAACGAAGTTCTGATTACTTATGTGAAGAACGGAAATGCCAATATGTTCTATTCCCTAAAGTCGTATGGCAGAAATTACAAGGATTGTAACGGGATAGCACGATTTCCTTTTGCCCAATTCTTTTCGGAATTATTGCGATATGTGTTGTTGTTATTATTCAACGAAAAAAATAATACGCACTAAATAAAATTTAATGCTGTCAGTAGCCCTATATATACGCAATCTCTATATAAACTAGTGCGCCTGATTATCTCTTCCATATACGCAACGGATTGTCGAGCAGTGTTTTTATATGACCTAAAGTAGATAGCAGTAAATGCACGACATTAAGTCCATCTATAATGAATGTAGAACTAATTGGATTTGATGCGTCGACTGCAAGGTGGCGCGCGCCATCTGCGTGCTGAAGAGCGGTGAGATTACATCAGCTACCGGGCCCGGTGAAATTTACTTAAGAGCAACATTTAAAATAAAATCACACAATTTTAATTGAAAAACCTGCAAGGCACCTTTGCATATACAGTCCGTAGCACTAGGAATGGAAGAAATAAATACATTTGCTTGATTAGCCTAATGAGGAAAGAGAAAAATGACCAAGTTAATTATTTGAGTTTTTCAATAAATCCAAACTGCTCGACGCAAATTGGTTTCTTAGAAAAAAATTAATTAGCATTTCACTTGTTGAGCGCGCAGTTGTTAACCCTCGCAAATTGTCTAAGCCTTTTTTTATTCAAGAGGCGGATAAGCTAATGGCAGAAGGGTGTCATTTAAAACAAGGACAACACTGGAATAATTTATGTTTGCAATGTACGTTGTAAACAAAGACAAAGGTCCCCGGTTCTCGAGCTATTTTAAAGTGGTGCTGATATTTCTTTGACCATCCTTTATATAACATACTGGTGTGTTGTATTTACCCCACTATAATATTTTAATCTGAAAACCTATACCAAATAAATAATCACTATCATTCATTTACAAACATTCTAACATAATACAGCATGTCCTATATTGACTTTTTTATATATACATATTGCTTTTAGGGTAAAACTAGGGGTAAATGTATTGTCAAGAACTGTACACCTGGCTGATTGATTGTATAATTGACTATTTAAATAACAGCCTGCACAAATCAGACAGAACTTCTAGGGTGAGCCCCACTCCATCCAGCAGATCCCTTCTCTTACTCGTGTCCTGCCATCTGTTCACTCTCAGAGGTGTTCAGATCTTTCATTTTCCACCTGTGAGGGACATTAATCATGATTAGGGACATGACTGAGCGGAGATGACTCTGGGCATGTAGGCTCTGATCTGTAGCTACAGCCTAGATATTTGATGTTCCAGAGTCTGTTCAAGCATTTCATGTCTTTCATTCTGGTGACCTGGCCTTGACAGCCTAGCAGCCTCTGAGGTCACTGTCACGCTCCTTAGCCAAAGTGCCAGTCTTGAGCCACACAGCTTCTCTTAGTGGCAGCATTCTGCTGATGGGCGTGACTGTTTAAGCATGAACCTCACAGTCTATCCAGGATTCTCTTTGTTCTATTTCTAAGCTGTATGTAAAATATGTGCCGCGTTTCAGGCACTAACATTAGGGGACAGTTTGTTTATTTATTTATTTATTTTTGAACACAAATACCAATTAAATACCGATTAAAAGTTTGGGTGTTGTGTACTCCTAACACAGATTCAGGAGAAAATATTGGTTTTAAAAGAGGAATAACCTAATAAAAGACAAAATAGGCATTTTCAATTTTTAGCTTCTATCAGGATTGTGTGTCACTTTCAGTCCCAGTTGCCAACAGAAATTCAGGGACCCCCTCGAGTCGCTGTGGCATGTCTGTAAAGGTGACGGTGTAACTTGTGTTTCTCTGAGCACGCCTGGTGGGTTTCACTGATTATACATTCTCCCTGACATGGCGCTGTGCAGGGGAACAGGTTGTTACCCTTTTCAGCAGAGAGAAATGCACCTGTGGGTCTTTAACACGCCTACACATGTGTTTCCCAAAGTGTGACGAGTTCTAAGAAAGGATGCAGACTCTGCTCTACAGAACTCTACCGTGCGCTGCTGTATTCGCAGGTGAGTATGGCCCAGCACACATAGTGATGTATTTTTTTAAGGGTCCTTATACAGCAGCACCCACAGAGCTCGGGATTAATTCTAAGTCTCTCTGGGGAATAATAAAGTCAGCAGATGAACCCAAATTGCAGCAGTTTTCTCCATTTACCAAAGAAAACCCCTTTGAGCATCAGGCACAAGTCTCCATTATCTCATCTCATGCCTGATATCAAGATGATTTTCTTAAATGAGTCACCAGCAAATATTAGCTCCTCAGATCTGTGCTGCGGTTGTCTGGCCAGCCCAGATTTTAAGCCCTCGTGGATAATTTAATTCAGAATTCTCTTCCTTACACAAATGATAGTCTTATTTGAAATAAGTCCAAAGACTGTTAAGAGTTTATATAAAGCCTGGAATGACTTAAGGACACATAGACCTTACACTAAGCAGCAGTCTAATATAGTCCCTCAATGGAGCAGAAGTGTTGCAGGATAACCGAGTAAAGCACTGAACAGCCAACTTCATTAAGACTGTCAGAATGAGTTACTGTGTGCAGTTTTAAGATGATTAAGATTATTGCATCAGCTAAACATCAAACTTGTGCTATAATGACATTTCTAATAGAACAACTTCTACAGTCAAGCTGTAGGACACTACATGTCTTTTAAATATATTACTGAATACTAATTGTTATAGCAGCAGCACTGTATTGGCATGTTGTGTCAGGTTAAAATACACACGGTGCGTGAAGCTAATGAATTGGGAGGCTTGCAGCTTACTGGTTTTTAACAGAACATTGCACGACATTAAAAAAAACAAAAACAAAAAAAAATTTTTTTTTATAAATTTCTCAA